GACATAGGTTAAGTGATGCTAAGTGAAAGGAATAAAGTTAGAAAGGGTTACAAGCAAATAAATGTGAAATCCCGGATCTAAAAGTCTAAAACTTAATATAGCAAGATACAGGCTTTGTTCAAGATATTTTTTTCTCACCAGTCATTCTTCCCAGCCATGGCTGACTTTTTCTCAGTCAGGACCTTCAACAAAAGTACATGATACGGGCTTCCCTTGCCTTCTTCAGTGAAAGATCTTTACCTAAACAGCTTTCTCACCTATATTCAATTCCAGAAATTTCAACCTCTTCCATTGGTTGAAGGATCCATCTTTCTCAGCTTGCAAGGGCTCTGTTCCCTTGTGTCTGTCCAGTAATGGATGCCAAAGATGGCTTTTCTCCCTGCTTTTATATCTCCCAAAGTTCAGTGACCTTGCTTCAGGAGGCAGGAAGCCCTCCTGTGTGCTTAGCTTGCTGTGTCCACCAGGAGGCTGACCACCTGCTGTTCTCCCCTTCCTGTGGACTTCCCATCTCCCTGTATATAAATAGGGCTTCTATTGTTTCTGATTCTGCCATGCTTGATTTAAATAGCAGACAGGTAGATAGCTGTGACATTCCCTCCTGTCTGGGCAGACTGTACAGTCTAATATCAATGAGTATCCATAATTCCTTATATAGTGTTAATACATACATTTTACAATGATATTAATCACCAGCATGTTACAGGCATTCATAAAATACCTTATTTGATGCGCTAATATTCTATTCAATCAGTTGATTCAATTGCTTATCACTTGAGGTTCAGCCCCCTGTCTATATAGCTCAGTAAACCTTCGAAATCTATTCTTCTGAGGGTTACCCATCAAAGTAAAGTTTACTTAAGCTGTAGGGAAGATGACATAGAGTGTGATGGTGAAAGAAGCTTCATGCTCTTTCTTCCCCACTTGTTAGCTTAATAGCTTTGTTTACCTAATATGTAAAAATGGACCTTCATTGTCTTTGCCGAAGATTGGGCCGGTCAGAGAATCAAATACATGTTCTTTTGTCTAAGCAGTCCTGTTTACCAACTCCCCCTGATGTGCCTTGCTTGAACACATTTTAGTTATGATTCCAGCATAGGTCCATAACTCTTAATACCCACCACATACATACATCACACAAGATTATTAGTAGTGAGTTATTAGTTTTCAAACGATACCTCACAAGGCATATTTTGTACAAAGATTATTACAATTGTGTGTAGGGTGTGACTATAGGGGTGCTTAGTGTTACAATAGGACTGACAATAATTAATAAAGAGCCTGCCTTCTATCTTACACTTCTTATTTTAATATGCCAAAATTTTTGTATTATTATGACACATTCTGTTCCCTAAATCCTTTCCCTATCTTCTGTTTCTTTTTGGCATTACAAATGTGAAAACGTTTTTAATCTGCTGTCTGTTCATTCTGCCTTTCTGCCACTTATTCTTATTTAATTACATATTTTGCTGTTTTTTAAGCAAAACTGATTTTTTTTTCACTGCAAAAGTAATTTTGGAAAATAAATATATGGTGGATATGGATTACAAGGGATGCATACATATCACAATATATAATTACATGATAGCTAAAATATGTGCTTGTACTTTGTAATATGGATATTAGTTAAGAAAACTACAGAAATTCAGCAATCAAGAAACAGTTCCATCCTATTGTATTATATTGTTTGTTTTCCTTTAGAGGATTTTTAAACTTGAAAGCCACGTGTACAAACTTAATTTCAATCTTGAACAGGGGTGTGCGCAGGAATAAACATTTGATGGCTTTTGGAGGGGCATGTTCTGTGCTCCTGCTGTGGCCCCGGGGCCAGAGGATCTGTCAGCTCCCCCTGGGGCCAGAGAAGCTCACTCTCCCCCTGGGGCTAGCGGAGCAAGCTCTCCCTGCCACTGGAGGAGTTCTATGCCCCCACCGATTATTGAGGGAGCTCATGTCCCTGCTTGCCACCCCTTTGTGCATGCCCCGATCTTAAACATCATCAATCCAGAGTAACTCTAGTGATCTTCATATAGTTTTGAAAATATTTTAGAACAAGCTGTTGTTTCTTACTTGAAATTTGTAATCTCCTTTAGAAATTCATATACTTCACTAACAATCAATTAGTTGGTAGTATCTCATATTTTTATTGAAGTCCCCACTGTTCCTACCAAGTGTTGTGGGCATCTAATGGATTCTATCACTCTCTTACCACTTTAGGGTCACCATGAAAGTTGTTTTCCAACCCCCTTGGATTCCAGATATCATGCCTTCTGAAACACAACCTCCGAAAATCAAGCTTTTAATCTCGCTGTGCTTGTTCTCCATATATAAAATGGGTAAAATACGCCTCTATATTACACATATGTTGTGAGAGATTCATACTTGTATTAATACATTAATTCTTGTGAGGCACTCAGATACTATGGTGGTGGGGGTCAGATAAAATTATCAAAGTTGCTTTTTTGTATGTAATCTTTTAATTGATTTCTTATGTGCAGAAGAAATCAATTAAATGAAAAGAATAATTAAATATATGTATTTACACTGTAGAAATCACTGTTGCTTAGTGATAAGTACAATTTATGATCTATGAAGGGCATGCAAAAATATTTAAGAATCAGGAAGGTTAATTGTGATGAAATAGTAATATCATTAATACAAGGTTCCAGGATAAATATATTTGGAAGAAATTTGTACATATAGTTTCAGTCAGACAATAGTTGTCCCCTCTTAAAGGTGGTGATAAGCTTTGATACCCATATAAATAGCTGAGAACTGAATTAGTCCTGATTTTGTTGAGTGAGTGTTGATCCAGTCTAGTCTTCAGAATTGAGGTAATCGGCGTAAGTGAAATTTGTTGCATAAATGTTTTGTCTTGTCCTTGTAGATAGAAAGATAGAGAGAACTATAATACTCAAGGTACTTGAAAATTTTGGACTACTGGTTTCAAACTAGTCTTAAATCTGGAATGTAGGCTATGATTTTCAAAATTCTAGCATAAAGTTAGGCTCCTAAATTATATGTAAGCTCCTAAATAAGTGATCTGATTTTCAAAAATACTAAGCACCCAACAACTTCTACTGAACTCGATGAGAGCTGTTGGATGCTCAGACCACTGGAAAATCAAGCCACTTATTTAGAAGCCCAGAATAGATTTAGAAGCCTAAAGTTAGGATTCTGTTTTTAAAAATCTTGACCTTAAGCTCTTTACTAAGTCTGGCAGAAATAAAAAGTGCAAAAATTAATGATTAGAGAAATATTATAGACATCTGTTTAGCAAATAGTCATTAGAATGCAGTCGGATAAGACAGTGAAAGAATCACCTAGCTTCTCAGGTCTCAGAGTCATCCCTCTCTTGAAGACAATAGACATTGGCCTCACATGACTGAGTGTGCCTCATCCATGGTGACTTGGGTATTGTCTAGTGGGCTTATTAATCTCATCTGCATCATATTCCAAATCTCATTTGTAAGCACCAACAATGTGCTTATCATTAAGGAAGACATGAAATAAGGAAAATCTCTGCCCCAAAGAACTTCTAGTATATTGTAAGACAGAGAAGGCCCAACACAGTGAGAAACACAGAAGAGGGAATAATGTAGAGGTGAGGGGTTTTATTTTCATTTATTTTTTAAATGTTGGTTAACTACTTGTGGGCACTGCATCAGGGGCCCCATGTTTGATGGTCGAGGAGGTCTTTCCTATAGCTAGGTCAGTCTCATGCCTCTTACTGATTATACCAGGGGTCGGCAACCTTTCAGAAGCGGTGTGCCGAGTCTTCATTTATTCACTCTAATTTAAGATTTTGCGTGCCAGTAATACATTTTAACATTTTTAGAAGGTCTCTTTCTATGTCTATAATATATAACTAAACTATTGTTGTATGTAAAGTAAATAAGGTTTTTAAAATGTTTAAGAAGCTTCATTTAAAATTAAATTAAAATGCAGAGCCCCTGGACCAGTGGCCAGGACCCGGGCAGTGTGAGTGCCACTGAAAATCAGCTCGCGTGCCACCTTCGGCACCCATGCCATAAGTTGCCTACCCCTGGATTATGCCATGCATGAGGTCCTTCTCCTACCCACTCTAATTCCCCAGGCCTGGTGCTCTTTTGCAAAGTGCATTCTTCAGGCAAGAGTACAGGAACAGTAAATGATAAATACAAAGAGAGAAATCAAAAGAGAAGGGAGGGGGGAAAGGCTAAAGGAATAGCCATGTGTAGAGGACATGCTGCTAAATGATATCAAGTTCATGTGCTTGTAGGCTTTGTCTTCACTAAATTTAATTGTGTTAAACATGATTGTGATGAGTTAGCTGACATGGTCATCTTCTGCATCATGTCAGCTAGTCATGGTTAAGTCTTGTCTCAGCTAGGTTTGACATTGTCATCTAATTAGATTCCTCGCAATTTTATTACAAATACTAAGATTTCCTAGTGATGGTAAGCTGTGTGTGAAATATGTTATTGGAAAATCTTTGGCTAATGTATCTCAATAAGAAAGTGAACTTTTTAAAATCAGTTGAATAAAGATTTTCTAAATTTCTTATATTACACAGCAAAGCTCTCCTCAGCCATGGTAATTATGCTTTGAGACACTACTTCTGATAAATCAACTACACTTCCTTTTACGTAATTGTGGTAATCATCTATTTAGATTTTTTCAACTTCCCTATTTGGTGTAAAATATTTTCTCTTTCATTATTCATTTGTGGCTTAAAACCACATTGCTAATACAATCCAAAATGTAGAATCCAGATGCAGAATTTCCCCTTCTTCCCATAACTTTATTACAAAGATAGCTGGCATAAATTCAGTAAAATATCAAGTTAGGTGTACACAGAATTTGAGAAAAAAAAACCAAAAAAAACCCCCCCCCCCCCAGTAATCATGTGGCTCGTGATGACTAAGTCTAACTTTGTTCCTCTTTCCTGAAAACAAAGTGTTCAAGTAAAATATTCACCCAGATAGTACCCCCTTTATTTTTGAAAGGCTTGAAGATATACAAGCATGTTTCAGCTTGTTTTTTTCATTCTGTTTACTTCTGGATTCACTGAATCACAAGGAAAAAAAGTGCTTTGCAGCTCCTCAGATGTAGAAATATCGTATTCCTTTTGTGGTAAGTAAAGGATTATTTTATTTTCAGTGGTGTTTGCACAAGAATGGATATCTCTCAGCAAACACTTGTCTTCCTTTCTCTTGTATTTGCTTCTTTGAGGAGTCCAGAAAGATAAAGAAATGACTCACTAGAGATTTAAGAATAATTTCGCTCTTTTTTGGTAGCTTGGATGGTATATATTTTTTTGGTATTCTGCAATTTCTGTATGATAGCAATTACACTGTGCATCCATAGATATTACCAGTCCATGTTGGGGAAGGTATGGGATGGGAGAGAGGTTAGCTTCTGATCAGGACAGGCATGTGTGTTGGTGACTTTGGGAAAACTTAAAAGATAAATTTAAATGTGCTTCTCTAGTGCTGTGATTAATCAAGTTAGACAAGAAATGGAACAAAGATTGTCATAGAACTTGAAGTTTAGCTGTATGGAAAATAGGAACACTTCATGTGAGTTTCTATTGGCCCTGGAAACGGGTGAAACTGTGGGACAGCTAACTCAGTACAAGTTGAAAAAGAAGTTGCGGGGGGGAGGTGGGGCACAGTTTTCCACTTTGGTCTCAATTGTTTCTCCTCTTTTGCCTCTACTCCTTTGCTGTGGTACATAGGTTCTAATTTAGGCCATGACCTGGCACTGAGTCACCCAAAAGGAACCCCACTGATGTCAACAGAACTCTGTGTGGGCAGAAGAGTCTGCCCACATGGTGCTTGATGTAGGATCAGGGCCTTAGACTGTACATTCCACAGGGCAGGTGTCTTGTCTTGTACAGATCCATACGCATCACTCATGCTGTATTATTAGTAAGAATGAGCTATAACCTAAGACATAGAGAGAATATTTGCTGTTACAACTGCTTTGCATTTATTTTCTTTTTGTTAAAATGTTAAATGCCTATGCATGAGCTTTAGGCTCCCTGACAATACAATTTACAATATCTTAGGAATATCAGCCAGCAGCAGAGTACAGTAAGAACAGTAGCATAGCAACCAGTAAATACCACAGTACATTATACTCCAACCTATTCCATATCCTCAGCACTCCCCAGATACTCCATCAGATTACAGTAACTCCTCGCTTAACGTTGTAGTTATGTTCCTGAAAAATGCAACTTTAAGCGAAACGTTGTTAAGCAAATCCAATTTCCCCATACGAATGAATGTAAATGGGGCGGGGAGGGGTTTAGGTTCCAGGGACATTTTTTTCACCAGACAAAAAACTATATATTATATAGATATACACACAGTATATGTTTTAAACAAACAATTTAATACTGTTCACAGCTATGATGATTGTGAAGCTTGGTTGAGGTGGTGAAGTTAGAGGGTGGAAGAGGGTGGGATATTTCCCAGGGAATGCCGTACTGCTAAATGATGAACTAGCACTCGGCTGAGCCCTCAAGGGTTAACACATTGTTGTTAATGTAGCCTCTCATCAAGGCAGCACGAACACGAGGGAGGGGAGACAGCATAGCAGACAGAGACAGACACACACCTTGTGTGCAGGAGAGAGAGATGCACATTGCCCCTTTAAGTAAGCTGACCCACTCTTAAGTGCATTGTCTTTTTAAGTGGATCAGGAAGTTGAGACAGCAGCTGCTGCCCCAAACTCTCTGTCTCTCTCTGTCCGTGTCCCCTCCCTGCTCTATATGGAGAAGGGGTAAGCGGGGTGCAGGAGCAGGGGGGAGGGGGACAACCTGACATTAGCTTCCCCCTTTCCCCCCTGCACAGCAAGCAAGAGTCTCTGGGAGCAGCTCCAAGGCAGAGGGCAGGAGCAGCACATGGCAGTGGGGGGAGGGACAGCTGAACTGCCGACTAATAGCCTGCTGGGCGGCTGCAGCACAGGGAACTTAGGGGAGCAGGGAGCTGATAGGGGGGCTGCCAGTCCACCCTGATTCCAAGCCCCCACCAGCTAGCTGCAACGGGCTGCTCTTCCTGCAAGCAGTGGACAAAGCAGGCGGCTGCCAAACGACGTTAGAAGGGAGCATTGCACAACTTTAAACGAGCATGTTCCCTAATTGATCAGCAACATAACAACGAAACAACGTTAATCGGGACGACTTTAAGTGAGGAGTTACTGTACGTTTTCATCATGGATAAAATAGTACATCATGTCCTGCAAAGACAGTACAAGTAAACTAACCTGGCATGATTTCTGTCATTAAAAGAAAAGTATTGAACTGGATTCCCTCTAGAGGTGGGGTGGAGATGGAGGTGGGTTGATGACTTCTTATAAAAATTTGAAATAATAGGCTTTCCAACACTGAAAAAGCAGTGCATTTTGTACTATATCCTGTATTTTACACTAACAACTGCATCTTGTAGAATGTACAGCAGTGGTCACTCAGAAAACAAACCATGATACAGAATAATCTACTAAGGTTCCAGTACATTGGAAGCCATGCTAGTGACAACCAAGTTTAAGCCCTGTTGTTGCTAGCAGGCTTCCAGTGTGGGTGGGGATATTGTTGTCTGACAATCATGTTAACAGCCTCCCTTCAATGACAGTGTGGAAAATGCATGTCTTCAAAACATACATAAATATAGCAGCATGTGTTTGTAACAAATATCCTCAACCCAATCAACCTACTGTTCTTAATACTTAATTTCAAAGTGGAATGATGTTATTTCTGCCTCTAAGAAGGCATCTAGAAGGATCATTTACAAACATTTTTTGATGGAGAGTGCTAGTCATGCTGACTTTATTACATATTTTTTTATTTAGATTCTATGGACCATGTTTTCTTCCTTAGTATAGTCCCTTGTTCCTTTAGAGAAGGTCGTTGGAAAGTTACTCTTTTATGGATTCCAAGTAAGTCACTTTTTGTTATTTCCATCCAATTTGGGGGATTAAATTCTGTATTTGCAGGAGGATACGTCACTTCTATTCTAAACCTCTATCCTAAATGAGAAGGCTATTTAGGGGAAATTTTTCATGATTAAACATGAAAAGATAAATCATGATGATATACAAAGAACCTGATTTTCTAACACATTTATGTAAAGATGTATGCACTAAAATGTGACTCACTTGTGCATGCAATTACCATAATTTTACACACTAATAAAGTAGTTGTGTATGCAATTGTCAGTTAGACAAACAACTGTCCATTTGCTCATGCAGTTACTCAACCATTCATGACTATTGCGCATAAATTAGGGGATATGTGATCTTGGTGGATCTCTTTGAAGGGAGATCCTGACTTAGACAGTAAATATATATTAATAATTTTCCCGGCTCTGCTATTCCACTTTGTGTCTTTATAAATACCTAAAAAAGTAGCACCAGATTGATGTTCTTAGCTTTCACAGTGCCTTTCATTCAAGTATATAAAATGGTGGTGGGTGAGGGTGATGATATTTAACTTGCAGGGTTGTTGGATTCATTTAATTTAAATTCATACATCACTTTGAAAATATAAAAAACTGTAGCCCCAATTCAGCAATGTAATTAAGCATGTGTCTAATTTTAATCAACTGTGTAGATCGTTAACTTCAATGGAACAACTTGGGTGCATATGTCTAAGCGCTGGAGATGGTTAAAAACTTTCCATATTTCTTTTGGATGGAAAATAGCTTTTCAGTTTCAGTGGAAACTCCAATTTTCATTTAATATATTTTTTGGCCAAAAACTTGAAAATTTGCCATTTTAAACCAAATTTTTTTCCATTTTTTTTTTGTTTTTCGACAACACTCTCCAAAAAAAGCTTAATTATTTTTTTTTTTTTTTTGGTGGGGAGTAAAGAATAATTTCCCAACCAGTAGCCACGTACTTAAACATCTTGCTGAGTTGCAGCCTATATGAGTGCTAAGATTAATATTCTAGTCACCATTAGCGTGCATGATTCTCACCTCATGTAGGGAGTGAATGTGTTTTGTGGAGATTTCATCAGTTTATGTTTTGCTTATTTTTAATAGGGAGTGATATAATCTTTTTGGAGAGCAGCATCAATGTATGGTATGATGCTGGAAATGTATTAGAATTGAAAGAAGTTATTTGCAGTGGATTTGATGATGACTATTCATTTTGTGGAACTCTGAAGGGAGGTAAGCATAAACTTGAGAGTTCTCCTTTGCCAAACAGGGAACAGAACCCTGCTAGCTACAATCCTGTTTAAACACTGTTGTTGCTAGCAGGTTCATTAGAAAGCTGTTTAACTGACCAGCACGGACAGGGATATTTCTGTGTCTGTGAATAGCTCTAGATGCTGATATAAAACCATGTTAACCACAGCCAGTTTTTGCGAGCCCCCTAATTTGGGGGACCTAGAAAAGTAAAGGAGAACTTCTGCCCAGACTACCATTGATATCACTAGAGACACCACAAATTTCATACCAGCTGGTTGCCTCTAGCTGAGCCAGTGCAACTGCTGAGCAGCCAGAAGGGGGCAGGCAGCTCAATAGCAGTAAAGGCAGCATGATTCAGTAGGCTAAGAAAGGGACTGAGGGCAACTGGCAAGGGACTAATCCTAGCTATAGCACAGACTCTTTTTGGCATTGTTCAAGTCGTGCAGGCCAAAGCTTTCAAACTTGAGCACCTAAATTTAGGCAACTAAATCCAGAGGAACGAAGAGTCTGTAGTTCTTTCTCATGTCAATGGGAACTGCATTTGCTCAGCACCTCTGAATATCGATTTAGGTGCATAT